TATTCTCTATCACAATTTTTGTGAGACTTAATGATAAAATATGTTATTATTGTTTGTCATGAAGTAGAAGTGAAGAAATAGAATTTGAAAAAATATATAGCAAACTCTAAATTATACCCTAGATCTGGATAAATTTTGCATTGTGGATTTTGGTTTAAAACAGAATTCAAAATATGTATGTACAATTAACTTTTTATATGCTTTTAGAGTGATTTTTCTGTTAGGCCGTTTCACGGATCTTTATCTGTGGGACGGGTTGAGTCAAAATGAAAATGTAATATTTATACTAAAAAATGTAATACTAATCAAGAATAAAGTATTGATTACTTATAAGGAAAATTGTAATACTTTTGAGAAAAAATATACTTTTTCTGTCATATTTTACTTGTATTATTTACTATTTATTGGTCAAACTAACTATTTCTTCTTTGTTTATTTTCTTTTAGTAAACATCAATTATTTTTAAATTTGATTTTTTTGTGTGTTTAATAGTACTTTTAAATGTAGTTTTTTAAATATATAGATTTTATATACTAATAAAAAACTTAATATTTTATAACAAATTGAATTAAAAACAATTTCAATCAAACTTCGTTAATCGAACTTAGGGGTGTAATCCAACCGAGTCGAGCTTGTTAATGGAAGTTCGGCTCGAGCTCGAGAACTGATGCTCGAGCTTGAGCTCGGCAATTTCGAGCTCGACTCGAGCAGCTCGATTGTTCGAGCTCGAGAACACGACCTTAAACTCGAATTCGAGCTTGATCTTGAACTTTTTAATTGTTATTTTTATATATTATAATTATATTATATTATATTATATATTATAAATATTATATATTATACGGTTCACGAGCGGCTCGACGAGTCACGAGCCTAGAATATCTAGGCTCGGCTCGAGCTCGATTATTAAACGAGCTGTTCGAGCTCGATTTTGACCAAGCTCGAGCCGAACCGCTCGCGAGTGGCTTGGCTCATTTACACCCCTAATCAAACTAAATAATTAAAATGAGACGAAAGGAGTAATACTTTGTTAAGGAAAGAAATCACAGAAATCACAAGAAATCACATAAATCACATATTTCTTCTAGCAAATATTTTCTCTTGTAATCTTGGTTTCATTATTATTATTCTTATTGATTCTATTTCCTTTCTCTGTACCTTATATTTTGTATATATAGGGGTGTACATCTTCTGTAATGAAAGATAGAGAATATTAGATAGTTCATACATTTCTTTACATGGTATCATTCACAGGTTCTTGACCGACGCTCTCTCCTTGCATTGTTCCTGCCGTGTGCCGCTGCCGCCATGACAGACACGGAGGTCGTCGACGCTGACAAGAGAGACAGAGTTCGTCATGCCTTGTCTTTGTCTCCAACAGGGTCAACTTTGAACGAATCGTTGTCAGGTATTCCTTTACCTCGCTGGATTATTGATACAGGGGCATCAAATCACATGACAGGGAATATTAATTTATTGAGTAATATTCAGCAAACAGACCCTTGTACCGTTGGTTTGCCAGATGGAAGCCGGGTTATATCAGTGAAATCAGGAACAGTCTGTTTGACGGACAATTTGATTTTGATGAATGTTTTATTTGTTCCTGTTTTAAGTTGCAATTTGATATCTGTTTCCCAACTGACGAAGGACTCAAAATGTGAAGCACGTTTTACAGACAAATTCTGTGTATTACAGGACCTAAAGACAACGATTGGTGTGGGTGAATATAGAGAAGGGCTTTACTACTTCAAACAAGATGGAAAAGAAAAAGCGTTTAATGCATTTAAGGAGCATAGTTTTGATTTATAGCATAAACGTCTTGGACACCCCTCATCTCGTGTTTTGTCTTTTGTCCCTTTAGCAGGCTCTATTAAGAACAGTTGTTTAGCTAATAATTTTTGTGAGATTTGTGTACGCGCTAAACAATCACGTGCTAGCTTTCCTATTAGCATTCATAATTCTAGTGGCATTTTTGACATGGTACATTGTGATTTATGGGGGGCGTATAAAACACCAAGTCTGAATGGGTCTACATTTTTTTTACAATCGTCGATGATCATTCTCGCGGAGTTTGGGTATATTTGTTGCAGTCAAAACGCGATGTGGTCCCTATTTTCCAATAATTTTGTGCTATGGTGACCCGTCAATTTGGAAAATATGTCAAGTGTGTTCGAAGTGATAATGGGACAGAGTTTGAAGGGCTGAAAGAATACTTCCGTACGCACGGCATCATATATGAAACATCTTGTGTTTCCACGCCTCAACAAAATGGAAGGGTTGAACGAAAACATCGTCACATCCTCAATGTGGCGCGGGCACTCCGATTTCAGGCTTCTCTACCTATAAAGTTCTGGGGCGAGTGTGTTCAAACTGCGGCATATCTCATCAACCGGACTCCTTCTTCTTTGCTAGGGGGGGTTGCTCCGTTTGATAAAATTTATGGACGGGCTCCACCTTTATCTCACATTCGTGTTTTTGGTTGTAGATGTTTTGTGCATAATCAGAAGCGACATGGAGACAAATTTGCTGAACGGAGTATTCCTGGAATATTTCTTGGCTATCCTCCTAGCCAGAAAGGGTGGCGTGTTTATTGTCCAGACACAGGGAAGATTATTGTTTCACGAGATGTTATTTTCTCGGAGAATGTGTTCCCCTTTTCGCAGGAAACAGAAGCAGACTCGGAGTCGCCACCTCCTAGCCAGGACAACCTCATCCCCGAAGAGGAGGAGGAGTGCGTGGATAGTGTTCGGCCTGTCCCCGGTGCCAGGACACGCGTCGAACCAGCCACCCAGACCAACGACCTGCCCGTGGGCGGTACTACTACCGGCAGAGATGAGGTGGCAGTCTCGAAGGTTCCAGTCCCTGTCCTAGTTGATTCGAGCCTTGATCAAGTTGCTGACCCCGATGCACAGGGTCGAGGACGGAGAATGCGTACTCCTAGTGTTCGCCTTGCAGATTATGTAACATACAAAGTCATTGGAGCGCCTGGCACGTTGTGCAAGTATCCCATCACTACCTATATTGGGTATGACAAGTTTTCCTTGACTCATAAATGTTATCTTGCTTCTCTTGATACCGAAGTAGAGCCCAGAAATTTTCGTCAAGCATTTCAGTGTGAACCATGGAGGAAGGCTATGCGTGCGGAAATTGATGCTTTGGAGAAGAATGACACATGGACACTTGTACCTGCTCCCAGACACAAGAAGCCACTTGGGAGTAAGTGGGTCTACAAAATAAAAAGAAAATCTGATGGGAGCATTGAGCGCTACAAGGCACGACTGGTGATATTTGGCAATCATCAGGTTGAGGGTCTTGACTACAATGAGACCTTTGCCCCGGTAGTAAAGTTAACGACTGTTTGCACTCTTTTAGCTGTGGCTGCAACGCGTTCATGGGAGCTACATCAAATGGACGTGCATAATGCGTTCCTTCATGGCGACTTAGATGAGGAAGTTTACATGAGGCTTCTACCGGGGTTCGCACCGTCACAGTCCAACGTGGTGTGCAAACTCAAGAAGTCTCTTTATGGGCTAAGACAAGCCCCACGGTGCTGGTTTGCAAAGTTGTCAGGTGCTCTGAAAAGGTATGGTTTCACACAGTCCACATCTGATTATTCGTTGTTCTCGTTGCGCAGTGATCATGGTGTGGTACATGTTTTGGTGTATGTTGATGATCTTGTTATTTCGGGAGATAACACTGTTATGACTGCCAAGTTTAAATCCTACTTGGCCTCTTGTTTTCATATGAAGGATCTTGGTACTTTAAAATATTTTCTTGGTATAAAGGTAGCTCGGAATTCTTCTGGTATTTTCTTGTGTCAAAGAAAATACGCTCTTGATATCATTTCTGAGACAGGTCTACTAGGTGCTCGACCACTGGGTACTCCTATGGAACCCAATCATCGTCTTGCTTTATCTGAAGCCCCGCTTCTTGATGATCCCGAACCATACCGTCGCCTAGTGGGGCGTCTAGTTTATTTGTCAATCACCCGGCTAGAGTTAGCCTATGCTGTCCATACTCTGGCTCAATTCATGAAGGATCCCCGTGATGATCATTGGAAAGCAGCGCTTGGAGTAGTGCGCTATCTAAAAGGAAGTCCCGGTCAAGGTATTTTTCTATCCGCTAAAAATACTCTGCAATTAACTGGCTGGTGCGATTCAGATTGGGCAGCTGCCCTTTGACTCGACGATCGTTGACCGGATGGTTCGTTCAGCTAGGCGACTCTCCCATCTCTTGAAAAACAAAGAAACAAACCACAGTTGCACGCTCCTCAGCCGAAGCTGAATACCGAGCTTTGGCCGCAGTGACATGTGAATTGAAGTGGTTAAAAGGTCTTCTTCGTTCTCTTGGGATACACCATACGACTCCTATGCAGATTCGTTGTGACAGTACCGCTGCTCTTCACATTGCAGCGAATCCAGTCTTCCATGAACGAACAAAGCACATCGAGGTTGATTGTCACTTTGTTCGTGATGAGCTATTACAAGGTGTGATACAAACAGAGCATGTGTCTACGACACAACAGTTGGTTGATATTCATACAAAGGCATTGGGCAAGACACACATGGAGTCTCTTATTCCCAAGTTGGGCATCTCTCTGCTACATGCTCCAACTTGAGGGGGGGTGTTAAGAAAAGAAATCACAGAAATCACAAGAAATCACAGAAATCACATAAATCACATATTTCTTCTAGCAAATATTTTCTCTTGTAATCTTGGTTTCATTATTATTATTCTTATTGATTCTATTTCCTTTCTCTGTACCTTATAGTTGGTATATATAGGGGTGTACATCTTCTGTAATGAAAGACAGAGAATATTAGATAGCTCATATATTTCTTTACATACTTTTAAATTAAAATGTAAAAATATTAAGATATTCTCATACAAATTTTTATTTTTATATAATTTTATTTTATTAACTGAATGTGATGCACATGGTATATCTGCTCCGTAGTGGATTGGGGAGACAAAAGGTTAGCCAAATTGATATAATTTGGTTGATCCATTTATATCTTCACCTGCACTACAAGTAGCAGAGCAGATCTCTTCCCCTCGTCAGAGTTCAACAAAAACAAAATCCTTTTCCAGCCAACAAGACAACCGCCGATGGGTGTTACCACTAGCCCCACCACCGCATGCGACGGCGATTCAGAATCAACGGGTCTGCTAAATCCCAAGGTTCCCAAAGATTCCTTCCACTTGGGTTACATCATCTACTTCACCCTCGGCGCTGGCTATCTCCTCCCATGGAACGCATTCGTTACAGCTGTGGATTACTTCTCCTACCTCTACCCGGACGCATCCGTGGACCGGGTGTTCGCCGTGGTGTACATGGTGGTGGGCTTGATCTGCTTGCTGCTCATTATAGCCTTCGCGCACAAATCGAACTCCTTTGTGAGGATCAACGTGGGCCTCGCTCTATTTGTGGCGGCTCTGCTCGCAGTTCCGTTGATGGATGTTTTCTATGTCAAGGGGAGCGTTGGGGTCTTGGGCGGCTACTATTTAACTGTGGGGATGGTGGGGGTTTGTGGACTTGCTGATGGGTTGGTTCAGAGCGGAGTAATTGGAGCCGCCGGAGAGTTGCCTGACCGGTACATGCAGGCCGTCGTTGCCGGCACTGCTGCTTCTGGTATTTCTTTCTTCTTTTTTAATTATTGATTTTCTTTGTGATTCTTTTCTGGTTTGTGAAATTTCTAACTCCAAAATTGTCTTTTTGACTTTTTTTTTTTTTTTTTTTTTTTTAATGTTTTCCTTCATTACTATCTTGGTGTGTATTGGATAAATCAGAGTATTCCATAGATAATTTGAGTTGATCACCAGTGTTGACTTGTCTGGTAAGAGCATTTGATCTTGATGGTTCGTCTGTTTTTGAGCTAAGATTTAGAAAATCTTGGAGTAAAGATTACAAAAGTAATGTTCTTTACTTCTTTTTCCCCCTTTGGTAATTGAAATCTGAAAGTAAGTATTATAGAGTAACTCTTGTTCTGCATTGAAAGCTTTACTTAATCTGCAGAAGATGTTTCCTTCTTTGTTTTTGTGTTGGTGGTTTGTATTAAAAACATCAGATACAACTCTTATAACTTGAATTTGTCAATAGTGGTCCTATCCATCTGACTTAGGGGGTGTTTGGTAAATGGCTGTTAGCTGATTGGGTTAGTGGGTTTGACTAGTTGATAGCATTAGCTTATTGTAGAAAAGTGTTTGGTAAATTAGTTGTTAGCTGATAGTTGATTACATACAAAACTTTTAATCCATAAGCCTTAAGCCAAAAGAGTTGTGCCTTGATATTGGAGGGTTATATTGTTTTTTTCAAATAAGCTCCACTTCAGTTGTTTGGCATTTGGACCACTATTATGGTCTTATTAGAATCTCTTTAGCATACTACCTTTTGTTGCAGATTTGCCCTTTTTCTGAAAGCCTGCAATTCATGGTTTCATAGAAATGCAATGAAGATTTACTAGACTGTATGTGCTGACAGTGCTGTAACTTCTCTTATTTGGGCAACGTGGTTTTCGGATGATTTAGTAGTGACTTATATTGATTGATTTGCCAAAGAACTTTATTGATAATTGAGTTCTTTTTCAATATAAGCAACATTAATATAGTCAGGTAGATGTTACCTAAGAAAAACCACTACAACTTACTAATGCCAACCAATACACTAATGAACTTGATAATCTGGATGGTTAATGATTATGATATTGTCAAAGTTAAAACACACTCAGAAGTAAAACTTAGGTTATGCCATGTGATAAAAGAAGAGTATAAAACTAGAGTTGTGAACTGAAAGTGTGCTGTTCTATTCTTGTTTCATCACAATCTAAGTGGACTAGAGCATGTTGTTTTGGATGGGCAGTGCATTTTCCTATTTACCTGTCAAAAAATCTAGCCTTTTCTTCCTGTTTACATTTTTCTTTTAATTTATGGATAATCTAAATTCAGATTAATGGTGTGATTATGCCATGCCTTGCAGGCATCCTTGTTTCTCTGCTAAGAATTTTGACTAAAGCTGTGTTTCCACAAGATGCTGATGGGCTGAGAAAAAGCGCAAATCTTTATTTCATTGTCAGCATTGCTGTGATGGTATTGTGCATTGTTTTTTACAATGTGGCTCATAAACTCCCAGTGATTCAATACTACAATGACCTTAAAGCTCAGGCAGTGAATGAGGAGAAAGAAGAGAAGGGTAACTTAAGCACCAAGTTATGGATATCAAACTTGTGGGATATTATTGGGACAATAAAGTGGTATGGGTTTGGCATCATCGTTATTTATGTTGTAACGTTGTCCATTTTTCCGGGATATATCACAGAGGATGTACACTCTCAGATTCTCGACGACTGGTATCCAATCCTGTTGATTACAGGCTACAATGTGTTTGATTTGGTGGGCAAGTCCCTGACTGCCCTCTATACTATCGGCAAAGCAAAGGTTGCCATTGCTGCCTGTTTTGCTAGACTGTTGTTTCTGCCCCTTTTCTATGGATGTTTGCACGGCCCCGAGTTCTTTAGGACCGAAATTCCAGTTACCATACTGACCTGTCTGTTGGGACTTACAAATGGATACTTAACCAGTGTGTTATTCATCCTGGCTCCCAAAACTGTCCAGTTGCAACATGCAGAGACAGCAGGGATTGTGGTTGTGCTATTCTTGGTGATTGGTCTGGCAGCAGGGTCTGTGTTATCTTGGTTCTGGGTCATTTAGTTCATCTGCAATTGTAATTGTATCACGTGCACAAATGTATTCATTAGTTCTCTTTTGGCTTGTGAAATTGAAACTTCAACTTGTATCATATATTATAATAACCTTAAACATTGTTGGTGTATGAGTAATCCAAACCTTCTATCTTCTTAACTAGAATTTCAGCACCAACTATATATCTTCTTTAACTATGATATGTGAAATATTGGATGTATTTGTGAATCAGGAGGCAAATGCGGCTTGTATGCTACTGGTCCAATTCGTTCTGACACTTCATAAGGTCCATAGAACTTAGAGGCCAACTTGAGGCTTGATCTGATTGCGAGTTTTTTGCACTTTTAGTCCCACGACTATAGTGGCACTGGCAGAATTGATCCACGACTTTTGAACCTTGCAATTTTAGTCCATGACTATTGATTTTTTTGCAAAAATGGTCCTTCCAGCCACTTTTCCGTCAAAATTTCACCGGAAAAAAAAAAAAATTCTCCATTTTTAGCCAGGTTAAAATTGACATTTTACTTATCTCAAAAAATTAAAAGAAAAAAAATTGATATTTGACTACATACAATATTACTGGGCTACATACTACTGCCCCAGGCGGCGGAGTTCCTGGAGCATGCAGGGCTGTTAGTAAGCGGCGGAGCGGCCGTGGCGTTCCCGGGCTAGTTAGGTTATCCGGCAGCAGCATTGGAGTGGTACATGTACTCCGCTACCTGGGGCAGTAGTATGTAGCCCAGTAATATTGTATGTAGTCAAATATCAATTTTTTTCTTTTAATTTTTTGAGATAAGTAAAATGTCAATTTTAACCCGACTAAAAATAGAGATTTTTTTTTTCGGTGAAATTTTGATGGAAAAGTGGCCGGAAGGACCATTTTTGCAAAAAAATAATAGTCGTGGACTAAAATTGCAAGGTTCAAAAGTCGTGGATCAATTCTACCAGTGCCACTATAGTCGTGGGACTAAAAGTGCAAAAAACTCATCTAATTGCCAAGAAAGTTTGTTTATTAGGTTGTATTTTCAAGTAAACTCGGTATCTATGGAGATAACTATTCCATGATTGCTCTAGAATGGTAAAAGGTTACAACAGATCTAGATTGAGAACATTCTCGTCTTTGCGCCTTTGGTAGATGTCACACTATCGTACATACTCAACGATTTCTCTTTTCATCTATGTCCAACAAAAGTAGTTCTTCAGTCTCATATAAGTTGCTTGTTGCTCATAGTGTCATCCTATAGCATAATTGTATAATTCCTTGATTAGTTTCATCCTCAATTCCATTGAAGAACCTATGTATAACGTACTTTTGTATTTCAATAGCTCATTACTAATAGTAATGTTAGGTAGATTGTTTGAATCCATCAATGCAACAACCAAACTTTCCTTAACCTAATCGTCGTTATTGAATTTTTAGGGTAACTCTAATGTTTAATCCAATTACTTATATGACAAAACACCAACTAGAAACGCTACTTTTCAAAAAGGTGATATTTTGGCTAATTAGCTGATCTCACTAGCTGGTAACCAAACACCTACTCTGAAAAATCTCCGTGCCTAGAAGGATCAACTTTTTCTTATGGCTGGTTCTGCATGATCGCATCATGTGTAACGCGGAGCGCAAGCGCTGACACCTCTCCCAATGGACTCATGTCACACCTGTTATGGAGTTAAAGAGGATGTTGCACACGTTTTGAGAGACTGCCCAGAGGCTTCGACTGTGTGGAAGATGATTATGCCACCCTACCTTCTCGATCGCATGCGCAATTTAAATTGTAGCGATTGGATTGATCTTAATCTAAAGATTAAAGGTGGCAGATTTGGTTTTGGAAAGTGGAACGCGGCTTTTAGCGTGATCTGCTGGCAAATTTGAAAATGGAGAAATGCGGCGGTCTTCAAGGACAAAAAGTCTCACCCACTTCAAAAGATGGCTTGGATTAGGAGATACTGCAGAGAGATCCAATTAGCTATGGCCTCCATCCCTTTACAATGTACCATTCCTGTAAGTCAGCCAAGGATGTTGTTGAGCTGGGAAAGATCGGAGGAAGATTGGATCGCGGTGAATGTTGATGGTAGCTGTAACATTCAGACTAACTCAGCAAGCTGTAGGGGCATTCTCAGAGATAATAAGGGCAACTGGATTGGGGGCTTCCAAAGGTACTTGGGCGTTTGTATTGCGGATGAGGCGAAGGCTTGGGCCATTCTACAAGGTTTTAAAGTGGCGGATCAGCTTGGCCATTATAAAATATGTATTTTTAGTGACTCAGCTAACGTCATAAGGTGGATTAATGATCCAAACTACGCAGCTATAGGCGGAGGGTATTTGAGCCGAGTGTAGGAATTGGATGAAAAGGGACTGGCTCGTTAAGTGCTGCCACGTTAACAAAACCAAGCAGCCGATTGACTTGCTAGACACTCTAGGTCTAGTCTTAGTTTTGTTTTGCTATCGACCTGCCCCCTGGCGATCTAAGTCGGATCATCCTTTGTGATGCCAGGGGATGCCCTCCGCTAGAGGGGATTAGGTCTTGTTTTTGCTTTTTGCTCCTGGGGCTCGGCCCTTCCTCTGTTCGAACAAAAAAAATTACCAAAGGGTAAAAATCGTGTGAGACGGTCTCATAGGTCTCAATCAATGAGACGGGTCAGATCTTTGATTAATGAGTTAATCTTTGACCTTATTAATCAAAGATCCAAACCGTTTCATACAAGTTTTTGCCATTACCAAATGTGATTCACCATATTTATTATATTTACTTAAACAAAAAAAGTAGTTGAACTCTGAAATAAGAAAAACAGTAAATGTGACATTGTTGTGCATAATTCCAAAATGAGATTAATAAGGGCATATCTAGAAATTATGAATTTACCCTATTGCCGAGTATAATTCCAAAATGAGATTAACAGGCAGTCGGGCAGATCCGGGAATTTCAAATTCACCATATTTATTCTATTTATTTAAACAAAAAAAAAAACAAAAAAAAAAAAAAAAAAAAAAACAGTAGGACTCTAAAATAAGAAAAACAGTAAAATGCCAGTGTAATTCCGAAATGGGATTCAACATATTTATTCCATTTATTTAAACAAAAAAAAAAAAAAAAAAAACAAAAAAAAAAAAAAAAAGGTAGACTCTTCAGCCGATGGGTGTTACCACCAGCCCCACCACCGAATGCGACGGCGATTCAGAATCAACGGGTCTACTAAATCCCAAGATTCCCAAAGATTCCTTCAACTTGGGTTACATCATCTACTTCACCCTCGGCGCTGGCTATCTCCTCCCATGGAACGCATTCGTTACAGCTGTGGATTACTTCTCCTACCTCTACCCGGACGCATCCGTGGACCGGGTGTTCGCCGTGGTGTACATGGTCGTGGGCTTGATCTGCTTGCTGCTCATTATATCCTTCGCGCACAAATCCAACTCCTTTGTGAGGATCAACGTGGGCCTCGCTCTATTTGTGCTGGCTCTGCTCGCAGTTCCATTGATGGATGTTTTCTATGTCAAGGGGAGCGTTGGGGTCTTGGGCGGCTACTATTTAACTGTGGGGATGGTGGGGGTTTGTGGACTTGCTGATGGGTTGGTTCAGAGCGGAGTAATTGGAGCCGCCGGAGAGTTGCCTGACCGGTACATGCAGGCCGTCCTTGCCGGCACTGCTGCTTCTGGTATTTTTTTTTTTTTTTTTCAATTATTGATTTTCTTTGTGATTCTTTTCTGGTTTGGGAAATTGCTAACTCCAAAATTGTATTTTTTTGACTTTTTTGATGTTTTCCTTCATTACTATCTTGGTGTGTATTGGATAAATCAGAGTATTCCATAGATAATTTGAGTTGATCACTTGTCTGGTAAGAGCATTTGATTTTAGCTTGATGGTTCGTCTGTTTTTGAGCTAAGATTTAGAAAATCTTGGAGTAAAGATTACAAAAGTAATGTTCTATTTTCCCCCTTTTGTAAATGAAATATGAAAGTAAGTATTATAGAGTAACTCTTGTTCTGCATTGAAAGCTTTACTTAATCTGCAGAAGATGTTAGCCTTTTCTTCCCATTTACATTTTTCTTTTCATTTATGGATAATATAAACTCAGATTAATGGTGTGAATGTGTGATTATGCCATGTCTTGCAGGCGTCCTTGTTTCTATGCTAAGAATTTTGACTAAAGCTGTGTTTCCACAAGATGCTGATGGGCTGAGAAAAAGCGCAAATCTTTATTTCATTGTCAGCATTGCTGTGATGGCATTGTGCATTGTTTTTTACAACGTGGCTCATAAACTCCCAGTGATTCAATACTACAATGACCTTAAAGCTCAGGCAGTGAATGAGGAGAAAGAAGAGAAGGGTAACTTAAGCACCAAGTTATGGATATCAACCTTGTGGGATATTATTGGGACAATAAAGTGGTATGGGTTTGGCATCTTCGTTATTTATGTTGTAACGTTGTCCATTTTTCCGGGATATATCACAGAGGATGTACACTCTCAGATTCTCGACGACTGGTATCCAATCCTATTGATTACAGGCTACAGTGTGTTTGATTTGGTGGGCAAGTCCCTGACTGCCCTCTATACTATCGGCAAAGCCAAGTTTGCCATTGCTGCCTGTTTTGCTAGACTGTTGTTTCTGCCCCTTTTCTATGGTTGTTTGCACGGCCCCGAGTTCTTTAGGACCGAAATTCCAGTTACCATACTGACCTGTCTGTTGGGACTTACAAGTGGATACCTAACCAGTGTGTTATTCATCCTGGCTCCCAAAACTGTCCAGTTGCAACATGCAGAGACAGCAGGGATTGTGGTTGTGCTATTCTTGTGTATTGGTCTGGCAGCAGGGTCTGTGCTATCTTGGTTCTGGGTCATTTAATTCATCTGTAATTGTAATTGTATCACAAATGTACCCTTTGTTCGCTTGCTCTTGCACAAATGTAATCATTAGTTCTCTTTTGGCTTGTGAAATGGAAACTTCAACTTGTATCATATATTATAATGACCTTAAACATTGTTGGTGTAAGAGTAATCCAATCCTTCTATCTTCTTAACTGCTATTTCAGCACCAACTATCTTCTTTAACTATGATATGTGAAATATTGGAGTTCTCTCTTAGTTATCCTTTTATTAGCATAGTATTTTATTCTCTGAGAGGTTGCTACAAATTTCCCTTCAGAGTAATAGGTTA